AAAAAAAAAAAATGGGCCCCTGGCCTAGTTTTCACAGCTGATATTGAGCTTCTCCAGCGGTTCTTTCCACCAATGTAATCGATCTGATTCCTATGCATACCATCAGGTGAAATCCAAGTATATAACCTGCATTTATTTCTCTTAAAAAACGTTATTTGCTACTCTTCTTATATCTATTCTTTCATGATTCATTTATTTCACTCAGCATTGTGTCTTCTAGATTTATCAATGAGCCATAGGAATTTTTATCAAGGCTTTAAGCTGAGTTCAGTTGTTGAGAGTTGTATATTACTTAGAAAATGACTTTTTTTTTCTGTTGCCCATCCGCTTTTAAGACACTGTTCTTAGACTAATGGCATCCATTCTTAATCACAAATATACATTTATACTTTGAACAAATCCTTCATTGATAGGAAAGCATTTTCACTTAAGATTCGTAAGAAATTTTAATTATTAAAGAAACAGCAATTTGGGTGCAAATCCCCATTGCCGGAGAGTCAAGTTCTACCTCATAGAGACTGTACAGGAGAAAGTAGAACTGTCCCATTAGGGATTCAAGGCTGTAAACTTTTCAGGAAACTGCCACATCTTTATCCTAGGGAATATTTGGTGAGTTTGAACCAGGAGATACTGCATGTTATAAAATCAGAACAGCTGAGTGGCAGGGTTATTTCCTTTCACCATACCTATTCAAATTGTATCAAAACTCAACCTCATTGCCGTGGAGTCATAACTAACTCATAACTGACCCTCCAACTGATTTTTTTGAGGTTATAAATCGCACAAGAGGAAATTTCCTGAATTTAGACTTTTAGCCTCCTAAGGAACTTCTGGTGGCCTAGTCTGTAGGGAGTTACAATGCTAATCCAAAGGCCATGGCTCTGCTATTCAAATCCCCCATAGGTTCCAAGGGAGAAAAATAGGCACTCTCTTCCCATGTGATTTACAGCCTTAGAAACCCAATACTGGGTCAACTATGAATTGATTCTGACTTCGTTTCAGTTTTTAGACAGATAACTAAGAGAACTTTGTCTTTTTAGAAAGACAAAATTTAACAAACTCTGTTTATTATTTGACTTGTTTACTAGGAGTGATCGGCACAGGAATTGCCCTATCTGTCGCCTACAGATGACTGGTGCAAATGAATCTTGGGTGGTGTCGGATGCACCCACTGAAGATGACATGGCAAACTATATTCTTAACATGGCTGACGAAGCAGGCCAGCCCCATCAACCGTGACATTGCCTGAAAGTCTTCTGTCGCTCCTATGGGATGCACACTTTGGTCATGGGGGAAGGATGCAGGGATGTTGTGGCACAAACACAGGAAAACTATTTTTTCCTACCCTTTTATTTTTACTATCTGATGTGTCCCTCTTTTGAGAAACTTTCCACATCTTCCATTTGTGGTAAATTAAGATTTGCAACTATTTTAGGCAACATTAATTATTTTTAATCTATTCTAATGTGTATTAGACCTAACTGCTCTCTGAATCCTTTGCCGAGGTCAACGTTTCCAGATGCTTATGAAACACTACTATTTTTCAGGACAGGAGTGCTCTGGAGTATTGTTTGTTAGGTTTAAAATAAACCTTGAATGTTAAATAAAATAATCTTGAATGTTAAAAAGAAGTAGCCATCTGAGAAGAAAATTTAAATGGTTAAAGCATAAAATATGTCAAAGTGCTTGTTACTAGCTGGTCTTAGTGCTGGAATCTAAGGAGTATGCTTGCCCCCTGGTGGTCAGTTAGTTATTGCTCCTATAATATTTTTACTTGAAATAATCCAAAATTATGTCATAACTATAACAATGTGTTTTGGAATTAATATTTTTCAACTAGAAGTTTATCTTTTTTCCTATGCTAACTTGAGTGAAGAGTATAAAGTTAGGTGTGACTTTGCCTCGTGAATGGATTTCTGCTTGGAAGGTTTCTTGGCTATTCCAGAAATGCTTTCTCACAGCTGGGAAACTTCTGAATGAATTTGGTACTTCACACTTCTAGAAATGCAGAGAGACATTTTTGTTCATCAAATATCCTAACTTTTTATTTGATAAAAAGTTAGATAAATCATTCAATATGTATGGTGATTTCATTTTATTAACTTGAAAGCATCTTTCTGGAGTTCAAATATCTTAAGAAAGAAGAAAACAAGATATAAATTTTTCACCATATATACATAAACACCTCTGAAAATTAGGAAATAATTTGGCTTTCTAATGTTTTATTTTACTTCCTTTGAAATATTTTTAGAAATATAGTAATAAAAACATTTTTTCTTTAGCAGCATCTCTACCATTTTATTAAAGCTGCATATAAAATTTTTTTGTAAACTGTTTTATAGCATACATTAACATTTCACCATATAATAACATCCACTTTTTAAAAAGTATTTTAATATTCCAGGAATGTTTTCTGCTCTATTATTGGTAAGTTGTGAATACTACTGTTTTTCTAAGTACTGAGGTGCATATTTTAAGTTGCTATTTATTGATGATAGATTTTTGGGATGCTAGGATTATTATAGATATAAAAATTAAATAATCTCTTTCTAAGAGGAAATGTCTACCAGAGTGTAGCTTGATTTTGCTCACAGAATGCTAATGAGAGTTATTATGTACCACATGACTAAATACTCTTTATAGATGTTTATGGAAGCAGAGTACTGGGGACTCTGTCACTGTCAGCCTAGCAATATGTGAACTTAAAAAGACTCTTCTTTTTATTCGCACATTCCTGAGTTAAAAACGGAGGCTTTATTTTGGTTTTCATACCTTATTGTAGCAATGGAACCTTTTCTCACCTTAAACTAACATCGTAAGTAGAATGCCCACATACACACACTTGACCCCACTATATAAAAGTCCTATTTTATTAATGTGAATTTCTTTATAAGGTGTATAAACATCATACTGTAATAAGTAAACAGGAAAGTCAACAAGTTATAACCCATTAATACATTGTTAATTTCAAGTGTATTATAATTTGGGGAGACATATATGTAGGAATAGATGATTCTCTAGGGACCTCTCCCAGCTCTAAGATTTTCAGTTGTCCTATTGGCTTAGCTTTTCTGAGTTTAATTGATTGCCTAATTTTAAAAAAATGTCTGAAAATAAAGTTGATTTACAGGGTTTAGGATCTGTTCAGATATAGCCAGTGTTTTTTGTCCTCCTTCTAGACTCTTTCCCCTTTCAAGGAACTATTAATAATGAGCCCAGTGACTTGCAGGATGAGCTCCAAGACACTAACTGATCTACTGTGAAATAGGAAATCTTTTTATTAGCCTTATCAAATAAATGAGCATACAGGCCTATGCTTACTCCATTAAACTCAGTGATAATTCCTTAGATGTGAATGTTAGGTAGATTCTACTATAATATTAAGCTTAAAAGTTGTAAATTTGTTTAATGATGAAATGTATACTTTTTGTATTCTGTACAGCCTTTTTTTTTTAAAAATATGAGGTACTTAAGTGCTTACTGTGTTAGAAAATATAATGTTACCTTCTAGGATTTGTGAAATAGTTTTATGAACTCTAAGGAATTTGTTTTATAAATTACAAAGTTTTTCTTATCCTAACTCATTAACAAAGAGTTATTCATGCATTAACGCTATAGGACTTTGGTTTGACAAAAGGAATTTGACTATGTATAGAATTTAAATATTAAGAAAATCTGTTTTGTCTTAGGATAAACTGATAAATTATGCAATAAATCTTTAGCAAATAATTTCAGCAAATTAGAGTTTTTCTTAGCATGTCTGCCTTCTTAGAGGACATTTTCTTTGTGTTTTGAGAGTTTATGTTAGTGTGCTGTGCTTTCAAATCTATTTCAGATTGGACTCAATTTTCTTATGTCTAATATATTCCTGAGTAAGACTGGAGAAGACTCTTGAACATGCCATGGATTGCCAAGAAAACAAATAGGTCTGACCTGGAGAGGGTGAAACCAACTTTCTCCTTGGAGGCTAGGATTTTGAAGCCTCATTTTACATATTTTGGGCATGTGGCCTAGAAGAAGGACATCATGCTCCAAAGGGTGGAGAAACAGCGCAGGAGAGGAAGACCCTGGATGTGATAGAATGATAAAGTAACTGGGGCAATGGGATAGGTTTGTCAGCGTCAGTGATATTGGCTCAGGACAGGGCAGGCTTCAGAGATGTTGTACATAGGGTTGCTAAGAGTTGTAGGCAACTCGACAGCACATAACAACAACTACCAACAAAACTGCCATAAAAATACTTTTAGTTTGATGAAATTTTTTTTAAGCATTGGGAAATAAAATTCAGTAAACAACAGTTCAAAGAATTTCCATTTTAACCCAGTTGAAAATTGGGCACAGGATATGAATACACTTCACCAAAGACGACATTCAGATGGCCAACAAATACCTGAAGAAATGTTAAAAATCTCTAGCTCTAAGAGAGATGCAAATCAAAACAAATTTGAGATACCATCTCACTCCAATAAAAATAGCAAAATTTAACAGAACAGCAAACATCAAATGCTGATGAGGTTGAAGAAAAAGTGGAACCCTTATTCACTGTTGGTGAGAGTGTAAAATGGTGTAACCACTATGAAAGGCTGTATGGTGCTTTCTCAGA